AGGCAGATGTAGATGCCTCAAACCCACTTATCCACTTCAGTGCACCCAGAAGCCTGGAGGGTCCCGAACAGTCTGGGCTTTGGGGAGAGTGCACTGAGCACTTACCACAGGCCGCGGGGCCTCTGGCTCCTTTGGTCATACTTTAGCATGTGGTTCAGAATCTTTTGGAATTGGCTCATAGGAAGAGTTTAGAGGTATGAACTAAGGAAGCCCTAATGCTGTAAGCACAGCTGATGGGTGGTTCTGGTCAGATCGCAGAAGATCAGGATGTTGATAGGAATGCAAACAGTAAGAGCTGGGCTCACATGGTTGCAGTTGGAAACAGGACTTCATTGGCAACTGACTATAAGCCATGAGTTTTACACTTTGACAAAAAAAAAAAAAAAAAAAAAAGTATCTGCATTTTGCCCAGGTTGTGGGGATTTGGAAGACACTGAGATTAAGGTACACTGACTGATTTGTCAGAGGAAATTTAAGGCAATTCAACATTTAGGATGTGGTATGGGTGCTGCTGTCTGCTTTTAGACAAATTTATAGTAAGAACTGAGTAAAAAACAAAGAACATCAGTATGAAATCTTAAATTCTGGCCCAAAGCACATCATATGTAAAATTGGGGCCAAAGGAGGTATAGTTGCTGAGGAGATTACTGGATTAAAAGGAAAACAAGCATTTTTTTATAGGGACGAGAAGAAAGATGCCTTGAAGGTATCAGAAATCAGAAAGACTTCACCCATTATTGGCTCAAAGGTAGAAAAGTGCCACCATTCATTTGAGAAGAATTCCTGAGCCTTCTGAGAAAGGCCACTTACACAATTGGTTCTCCAGGATTCCTTTCACTGTCTACACTCCACTACCTAGCCACTTAGAGGTCACTGCCATGGTGGTCCCACGGACCTTGACAACTACTGCTGCCAGGAGCAGACCTTAACACTGTCCATATGATGTTGGTTTTTTCCAGCATGCAGACTGAGATGAGAGGCTCCCACCAAGTTTTGAAAGGAAGGTCTGGGAAGGTAGCTGGGAAGCCCTGAAGAAGACAATGTATGAAGCTGTGGGAATGAAGCCAAAAGTACAGAAGAGACCTCAGGAAATCTGAGATGTTAGAAAGTAGAATGTCTGCTGAGGAAAGCTGCAGACTGTGAGTGGACCCATTCCAAGGAAGAAAGGACAGGTGGCTGCAAATAGCAAGGTGACAGACGTAGAGCCACCCATGCTCTCTGTAACTCGTCTCAGATGCTGAACCCGGGGCTATGAGACATGTTTACCTTGCTGGGTTTCAGTCTTAACTTCAGTATAATTCTTTTCTATCTCCCCTTTCCTCTCTTTTGGCATGGGAACACTGATCCTGTCATATTGTACTTTGGGGTTATGTAAACTTTTTTGATTTTTGCAGAACTTCATAGCTTAAAGTTTGGAGTCTCAGAAGAGATTCTTTTGATTTTCAACTTTTTATTAGTACATACTTCCAATATGAGTCCATTGCTCATGTGGAGTTGGTACATGTAAGTGACGTAGCTCATCTGTTTTTCTTACCTCCTTTTCCCCATCCTTCCCTTCATCTCTTAATCTTCTTTCCATATGAAAAAGATCTACCTCTCTACTTATTATCTGTTCTATATTTTGGTTTCTATTTATACTTTTGGCTTCTCATTTAAGAGAAATCATGTGATATTTAAGCTTGTGTGTCTGATATATTTCACTTGGACTTTTAAGACTTGGGAAAGGGATTACTGAGTTTTCATTTGTATGCAATTGTATTATGGTAAGCAGTTTGTCTATTGTGATTACTGGAATATGGTTTAAGGATAAATGTGTGTGTCTCTCTAGTTGTTAAAAGGACAGAATGTGATAGTTAAGCTTCACTGTCAAGTTGATTGGATTGGAGGCAACCTACTTAATAAAGCACACTTATGGGAGTGTTTGTGTGAGTGAGCAAGGCACAACCTTGGACACTGCATTAGCCCCTGGCCCCCTCTCTGGTACTGTCTGGCAGAATACCTTTGTTCTGCTATGTCCTTCTGCCACAATGTTTCTGCCTTGGAGCCAGTCAACGATGGAATGAATAGTTTGAAACCACAAACTAAGTAAAATTCTTCTCCTTTAATGTGGAGGTAATGGGAACTGTACCAGCAATGGGGAAAAAGAACATAATGGATACAGGGCCATTTTTATCACCAGGCTGGCTGTTGAGGTGTCAAAATACTTGTTTTCCAGGAACTCTTATTTTACTTACTAGTGGCGCTGAAGCTTCACAGTATTCAAAAACTAAAAACAAGGTGAAGAAAAATAAAAAGTCCAATTATTACTTTTCTGAAAATGATTTCAAAGGAGATAAATATGTCAGGATAAATTTTGGTTAAGGAAAAAGAATCCACTAGACACAGCTTATTAACTTAGAAGTGAGAGGAGGAAAAAAGGCCATGTACATGAGACTCAGTACTGTCCTTGATTTAAGGCTCTAACTCTGGGTCTCAGAATGCATCCACTTGAGTTAGTGGGGGATTATTGTCACCATAAATAACACTGCATTTGATGTTAGAATAGTAAGTTTTAGTGAACATGAAATTTTTTTCATTGGTTAAGTAAAATTTGAAACATACATTAAATATTTCATTTTTAAAGTTTATTTATATACTTTTTTTATAAAGAACATTCTATACTAGGGTATGTACATATATAGGAAATGTATAAATCCATAAACAAATACTCTGAAGGTGTTTGCTTGAACACTTTTGCCTAGGAGAGTAAATAATTAAACATGTTTAAAGATGAGTCTTCTGAGTGATGAAAACTGAGATAGATATTCAGATTGTGTCTTGGGTTGATAAAGGTCAGAAAGGAACAAATCTGAGTAGAGTGAATCCATGAAAGCCAGTGATTGGGTTAAAAGACAAGGGTTGGGGGGGGGGATTTCAAAGCTGTTCAGGAAGGAAAATAGAAAGAGATGAATGATTTGGCACCAGATGGTAAACTTCATGGAGATATAGTATGTTTGTTTCCTTAACTGCCATTTTGAGTTTCTATGTGTGAGTCTTAACAAAATGAAGTAGATTGACTAAAAGATAAATGTGAGAAATAAAAACAGGAAAGCATCAAGAATGATGCTTGGGTCACCAAAGTGTCACTAACTTGGAAGGAAACCACAGAAGGAACTTCCAAAATACGTTCATGTGAGCCATCTATATTCAACCTTTTCAAAGCCAGTTTTTCTGTCAAGCTCAGAAAGGGAATTGTCAATGACTTTTATAAATTTGCTCAAAAACTAAAAAACAAGGTGGAGAAAAATTCAAATTCCAACTATTAGTTTTCTGAAAATGATTTCAATGAAGATAAATATGTCAGGATAAACTTTGGTTAAGGAAAGAGAATCCATTAGACACAGCTTAACTTAGAAGTGAGAGGAGAAATAAAAGCAAACCCCACACTAATTTCCAGTTTATTAATGCTTCTTTAAAAAGAAACTCATTCAATTGTACAATATGGTTTTATTTTAGACTCTATGTTTCCTATTATGCTCAAAGGTTATGGTTCTAAATGTATAAATAACATCAAATAAATTTCTCAAGGTAAAATAAAATGCTTCAGGCAATAGAGATGAATACACTCAGGAGGGCTCTAAAAGGTAAGGAAGGACGAGCCCTAACTGTGATAGCAATGCCTAGCATGGGTCAGATCCTGCCTCAGCCTTCCACATCTCTGGCACCCAGAAAGAACTGTGTTGGGCTTCAGGATGAAAAGAAAGAGAGATGCAGGGAAAGAGGAAAAGAGAGAACATGAAAAAATATGGAAGAATGCTAAGGCAGGAAGAGAAAGGGAGGGAGGAAGAAAGAAAGGAAAGACAGAAGCAAAGAATTTTTTCTTCACAATGCATTTAGTTTTGAATAAATATAAAAATCACTGAGTTTTTCTGAGTTTTTGCTGTTGTTTTCTTTTTGTTTCATTACTATTAGGACTAGTATATGTTTGTACTATATAATGTTTACATTTCTTGTGGGAAATTGGTATATAAATATCTTAGTTCTTTTTATTTATCCCCCATCTTTTGATCTCCTTCTTTTATTTTTGGCTTGTGTTTGCAGTGCACGACGTCCACATTCCTGGCATGGAGTTGGCATCTGGTCACAACACATCCTAATTCCTCTTTATTATCTTTCCTCAATGAAGCACCAACAGCAATGAGCAGAGGAAAGCACCACTTTGTGAGTGGACCACAGGCTGAGTATAAAATTGCTGTACTTGACAGCATTTTAAAAAGGCAAAGAATCACACCGGCTAACATGGAATAGTAACATTTTGATGTAAACTGCAACAACTTGAGAACCATTGATCCACAGGTCTACAGTAAAGAATAACAAGGAAACAGATTCATCTTTCTTATGTAGTGGGATTCACTTTCTCCAGCTTTAAAATTTATTTTGACATTCTGTTTGTATTGTACCAAATGAATTCCTTTACTGCCAAAAGGAGCCAGTTTTCTAGGTTTTATAGGTGCTTGGGACTTTAGATTATCTATTAAAACATCCATTATAAGCTAGAAATCTTTTGAAAGGCATCCTTGCCAGAGGATCAAAAAGTCAATGCCCGTCTGCAAAGTGAGTGCTCTACTAAGCGAGAAAGGCTCATGTTCTGCAGTCTCCCTGGGACTGGACTTCAACACATACAAAGAAAAGATTATATATTTTTACATGTGTAAGAACTTGTGTTACTCTTTCTTTGTCTCAAAGAACACTTTCAGAGAGGCCATCTATCAACTGATGAATTTGAAGTTTTAAAAATGTCACAATTACAATTGAAGGCTTTGATAACTAAAATTTAAAATGGGATCAAGATAAAAATAAAAAAGGAGTGTGAAAATAAATCTGAAAACTCTAAAAGTACATGCTATTCAACTTAAAGGGAATGAGAGACTAGGCATATAATATGTAAATTGCAGAGAAATATTGCATTAGGACAGAACATTGAAGATGACTTGACATCACTAATGAAAGCTGCTGCCTACCTCTTCATACACCTTCTTGGCACTGGCATTGTCTCCTATCAGGAGATAGCCCACTCCAAGGTCATTCTTTAAGGAGGTATCACTCGGAAACAGTTGAACCAGTCTCTGTAGGGTAAGCAGGGAACCTCTCATATGACCTGATTTGGGGGAAGGAAAAATAATATAATATTACTTACATCTTTGTATTGAGAATACAAATTATTTAACAGATTTTATATCTGACTGTCTCTATTAATCACATACTAAATACTTAGCAGGATTTCATGATGTAGTAGTAATAGTATCAATAATTTTTATAAATAAATATTGAATATAATATTGATTAAAAGCATTTTAAAAACATATTCAATTTTCTAAATTGATCAATATTCAGTTTATGTTTTCCCTTTTTAGAAAGTTTGTTCTTCATATAATATTCCTCATAAAAATATTTTACTATGATACTTTTGTGTTTATTAGCTTTAAAATTAAAAGTAGAGAACGGAGAATAAAAATTCTAATTGATTTCAGGGCCAAGCACCCTGCCTGAAATATGAAAAGATACCAAGATCCACAAAGAGTGTTGAATAGCTGATGAACTCTCCAATTCAAATTGCACTCTTCTCTAAGCACTGATTAGCGCAGCAACAGACACAACACTCAGTACTATGGGCCCCTCTGGTGGACGACAGGCTGTCATGCACTGTATCAACCACGAAAATCACAGTTTCAATTTACTGTTAAAGCTGTCTGATGGAAATTAAAAATACCTGGGGCCAGTTCTCCTCACTCTGTGTCACAGCAGGAAATAGAAACGGGGCAGTAAAATGTGCAAAACAAGACTAGCACACATTTTAAAAAATCTAGTTACCTAAAATTCATAACTTGGTGTTAGCTGCCCAAGAGTAAAAGTAAGACTGTCAATGACCTGAGTTGCTTATTCCAACAAAAATATATTTGGCACAAAGCATCACTCATCCTGTGGCCTGTGCCTGTTCTGGGCCCATGTCATTCCAAGTGGCACTGGTCTGGTTAGTCAGTCTTTCTTTACTAACAAATATGGAGTCTACTTTTCTTATACTCTGGCTTCTCCCTACCTGCCTGCCTAGGCCCAAATTTTTCTGTGCTTCTCCTGTTAATCACCACACCCAGACAAACATCCCTCCTGCAGCCATCTGCTCCTGTCCCCTCCACTCTGTTTCATGAACATCAACTCTCTTTTGAGCCAGCTTTATCATCCTGCCATGTACAATAACATTTTCTGCCCATTTGAACTCAGGGTCTCCTCAAATGACCTTCCTCATTCTCATTTCAGTAGAAAAGGTCATATTCAAATACTGAAAGACTATTGAGAAGAAGGTGAGATTTTACAGGCAGTCTTCTTTTGAAGGTGGAATAGGATGAGTGACGAACTTGGCATGAAATCTAAAAAGCAACCAAAAAGTTCATAGTTCTAAACTGAATATTTTAAAATTTTTTTAAAAGGAAAATTAATGTTTAAATATACATGGTGAACTAAAAACAATTTAAAGCCAGAATCAATGAGCTATGCTAAGTAGAGTCTTACAGTGGTGGGCAACAGAACTCAGTAAGAATGATTCTGCATCCAAGCAACACCCTTCTTGCCATGCTTGACTCCAGTCTGCCCTTTTCCATCCTGAATTTATGCCACTTTCTTTCTTTCTCTGGTTGAGTTTTTGTGAACAGTCAACTAACCGACTATTTTGTATAGTTTTGAATCATGTCTTGGGCTCTATTTGTTACCACAATTTTAATCATCTACCAAGGAACAAACCACTCTTCATTCCATTCCATGGAGAACTTATAAAAGCATGAGTTGACTTCCTCATATACTTATTCAAGACTCTGCTAAGGAGCACACAGAACCGATCCATGTAACCATGCTACCAGACAAGAACCCACATCCCTGGGACATGTGGCTTGGACCCTGCCCTCCTCACTGATATGCTCAGGAAAGGTCACATAAGCCTGGCTGAAGTGCAGCTCTCGTACAGTAGTCTTCTTTGCCTTTGAGACTTGGAACCTGGGTCAGTAGAGCGCATGCTTTGTACTGCTCTTTCTGAAGTGTTTTCAAATTTGCTGTATAATTAAAATTACATTTTCTAGCATTTTCCTTGGAAAAAGTACAACTTTTACATGTACAATGCTTAAGGCACCTGGAACTCCTAACGTTCTTCTAAAAAACTAATCCTACAAATCATTTCAAACTTCAGGAATCAATTTCTTATATTCACCGAGAAAAGAATTTGGCAATCCAGGAAGTTTTTTGTTCTGGACCAATTAACCAATTATCTATGGCTCTTTAGGCAAATTACCCAATCTCTTAGCATTCTATTTGCCTCCCTTTTAAAATGGTGGGGGGCAAGAGAGTATAATCTTTGTAATCTGAATCTTTGTAATTATTGGGGTTGAGATTTCAGCTTTAGATAATCAGTCTAAAATAGTCAGATTTTAGATAATTTGACCTTGAATTAAATTGCTTGGAATTAGTTGTAAAGCACAGGTTTCCTTAATATAACTTAGTCTTCTAAGAGTATGCCTGGTCTTATGCTCTTTTAACATACAAGTATGCCATTTCCTACATAGTTAACTCTTAAACCTTACCCAGAAACTGCTGTCGTTCTGAGCACCGTTTCAAAGTCAGCTTCAGCAGGTCATTGGGGACATTGGGCAGGCTAGCCACCTCTTGGTAGGTCTCGATGGCCCTGCGAAGCACCTCATTGCTCTTCCTCTTCTCAGCTAAATCATCTTCACACTAGCAGAAACCCTAAATTAGATCAGTGTCCCGCAACCAGCCATATCTACAATTATCATTAAAAAGTGAACTTTTAGGCATGTTTTTTAACAATCACACATTAATCTTTCTTTATCAAGAAATAAAAATAAACCAAAAAAAGGCAAAACAATGTTCTGGCTTAATAATATGAAAAACAGCTATTAAATGATAAAAGATATAGAACACAATAAATGCAAGAATAACACATGCTGGGGTAGATGGAGATTTCTATCACATCACATGTTAACAAAATATAGACAAGACTACAATCCACAGTTCCCGTTCGTTCCTTTGTGTGTTCATTCATTCATTCACTAATTCAGCAGTTACTTATTGCACAGAATCACAGCAAAATCAAATGAAATAAAGTCTTTTTCTTCTTTTATTTTTTAGAAAGGATAATAAAACAAAATACAAACAAGGGATATCATTTGGTGGATATAAGAGCTTTGACAAAAATTGAGCATGCGAAAAATGGCGGCTTGCTAGGGGATCGAGCAAAGAGTCTCTCCAGAGAATTCATACTAGAAGCTAAAAAATGACAACATGGAGAGGGCCAGACAAATCGATAGCGATTCTTATTAACCAAGACAGTACAGCTGGAGGATTTAAAGTCGTGCTGAGACCGTGAACGCTGATAACGGGAGGCTGCAAATCCCGCGCCTTTAAATCAACAAACTGACCCGTGGACCCAGCAGGAAAAGTTGAGTTGCTTTTGGGGACTGCGGGGAAACTGAGACCCGGGCCGGGACTCCAAGTAGCAGCCAGGACTGCACCGCTGCACCAGAGCGGATGTACAAAGCTCTGGCATTTCAAATCTAAACGGTGCACAGATATCTGACCGTTCAGCGCTGTGCCGGGAGCGCACGCTGTGCACCATTCCTCGCTGTGCCCGGAGTGCGGGAAAGGTGGGCAGCTTGGTGTGCGGTGGTCCCGGAATGAGGACCTGCACCGGACTCTGGTGAGTACTGGGAACCCCGCGGCTGCTGGGGTTGGCCAGAGAACAGCTAGCCCGCCACCACAGGGAAATCAATAACACAGAGTCTGGTGCAGAAACTGCAGCGTGATGACATCACCAGGTTCCCCTATAGGGAGGGCTGGTGGAAGACATCTTGAATCCTGGCAGAGCCTGATTACTTACTGGCTTCAGCTCCACACAGAGAACTTAGTGGGAGACATCTTGGTTTTGGGCGGATCTGCTATTCTGGTGCTCCTGTCACAGAGAAGTTTGGAAGAGAACGGCTGGGATTTGGGCAGAACCCTGTGCCATAGTGACATTACTCAGCTGCTTCTGGTACAAAGAGAACTGGCAGGAGCTAATGGGGCTAAACCAAGCCTCTGCTTGGGGCCCAATAAGCGGATACAAAATAGTCACAACTCAGTGACAACCAGAAAGTACAGCCTAATTTATGAACTAACTGGCACAGAGGCTAGAGACTAGCCTGTACCGCCCCTGCATCCCAGCCTACCCCAGATAACAGTAAATTGGGGAGGACAGCAAAAACTCAAGCCAGCACGCTTCTGAAAGGCCCTAAGCAATTCAGAGAGGACCAGAGAACTCCAGGACAGTCTGAAAGAAACCAGAAACATGACAAGAGATAAAAATAAAAAAAAAATCTCCAGCTGCCCAACAGGAGAAAATAAGCCCAGGAGAAATAAACACTGAAGAGAACAAGCACAGTAACCATCCACTACTCGACACAGCATCAGCCAAAATTAAAAAGTACCTACATGATCTCATAGAGGAATTTAAAGCTGTACTCCTGATCCAAGTGAGGCAAGATATAAAGAGATTAATTAAAGAAATGACAAGCCCCGCCCAAGAGAACACAGATGGAAGAACTGAGGAAATCAGAAAAGAAAGAGAAGCATCTGAAGAAGAACTTAAACATAACTTAGAATACATGAAACAGATCCAAAGAGAATATCAGGAAACTAAAAACTCCATTGAACATTGGCAAAATGCCTTGACAGAAACTAAAGACAGCCTTCTGAAACTTGAAGAGAGATTTAGGGCTTATGAACGTGAAAGAAAAAGCCTCTTAAAAATAACAAGGAACCAGAAAGAAGCAATTCTAAAACTGGAAGATGATAAAAAGATACATAACCTAAGAATAAAGAATGTGAGTGAGGAAGCAGGAACATCCAAAAATGAAATACAAAAAATATTCACAGATATATTAAAGCAAAATTTCCCATGTATAGCAAAAAGAAATGATATCCAGATAAAAGAAGCATACAGAACACAGCTACCTACAACCAAAACAGATCTACGCCTAGACATATAATAATCGAGATCCCAGAAATCCACCAAAAAAACAGAATATTAAAAGCAGCCAGAGAAAAGATGCAGGTTACCTATAACGGGAAATCTATCAAAATAACAGCAGACTTATCAACACAAACTCTTAAGTCAAGAAGGGAGTGGGGAGAAATATTCCAAGTCCTGAAAGAAAAAAATATGCAACCAAAGTTCATATATCCATCAAAACTCTCTCTAAAAATTAATGAAGAAATAAGATACTTTTAAGACAAGGAGGAACTGTGGGAGTTCGTGGCCACCAATCCAACCCTACAGAGAGCGCTGAAGGACATTACAGAGAAAGAGAGGAAGAGATATCAGGATTCCAGCAACAGTGGCAGAGAGGCCTCAGTGAACAGGGCAGACAATGGAATGAGGAAATAAGGTGGACAAATTATAGCAGAAAAGTGGAGTAGCAGACATGAGGCAGAGACGGCAAGCTAGTCTTTAGTATAGACAGCTCTGAAACTATATTTAAAAAAAAGCAGAGGTCATTGCTAATGGTTTATAACGATTTAAAAGACACAGTAGTCCTAGTGCCATATTTAGATTGAATTTAATTTGTTCTGGTCTGTCCACTCATGTCAGATTTGAGGACACAGACCTCTAGAACCAAAAATAGCAGGTTATACCATGGTAACTATCCTTACTTTCCTATTGACTTAGGCTGAAATCCTGTATTACTTACATTGTCTTACTATGACTGATCTTAATTGTATCTGAATCATAAGACTATTGGTTGGCCTTGACTGATTCTATTTGAAATTGGTATGCTTGTTAGAATCAACCCTAAAAGTAGAGGAAACTACTCTGAGCATGACAAGATGTAAAGGATATCCATACTGGTATGAATCAGTAACAGCTCTCAAATCCTACAATGCAGTCAAAGTTAAGTTTTTATAAAAATAGGTGATAGTATGTTTAACTATAATAAGCCAGTGTTGTGGACAAATCTATTGAAAATAACAAGAGAAAACATAATAGCTACGGAAGATCATTTATACTGTAGTTTTATATGTCTTATCCATTGCATGTTTTTCTAGGAAATTGTTTTGCTGTCTTGCTATGACTTGGTTTTCCCTATAATACAGAGAGGATAGATATATAGGTAGAAATTCACACATGGTTTTTTTTTTTTTTTCCTTAAATTTTTTACGGGAACAGACTATATAATGCAAGATGTAAGGAACAAATACTCTGAGGAAGAGAAGCTGAGAAACCCGAGGCTTATTTTGTAGCATTATAATGTAAATTCTAGCAATCTATTGTTCGCTGATTAGAATGACATTGGACTGGTTTCTTCAGTTCAACTTTAGCATATGCAGAGATGGGGATGGCTATCACAAAGAGAATGAGAGATGTGATGGTAGTTGCTATTGTCTTCCCTAATTTGGAACTTGAGGACCTAAAAAGACTTCATCATCCTGTAATGATTTGATTAGTTCTATAATATGCAATAAGTATATAAAGTGGGTGAAGATAGGGACAACTATTTGTAAGAAGCTAGAGACAGTTAGATAATGAAGATCTCCAGTGGACTTGCTTTGAAATCTGTATTTCTTTAAATTGTTTTTTATTTTTTTTTAAATGTTCTGTTCTGTTTTGATATGGTTAATCTTACCCTCTTTGAGATGTAAAACAAATGTGTAGGACTGATAATCATATTACTGAGCTTTTGTTCGATCATAGAGCAGAATGGTTTGTAGGGTCACTTTTTTGAATGTCATTCTAAATACTTTAATTCTATAACCTGAACAGCTATTTCGAAGATGACAATTTGTAACTTATCAACCGGCAATTTCTTACCTTTTGTTTGTCTGTAATTTTGTATTATTTCTACCTTTTTTTTATCTCCATGTATTTTTTTTCATTTCCTTTTCTTTAAAAAAAAAATTGAGCATGCTGAAGAGTACTGAGTGAGCAGAACGGAAGTAGCTAGCTTAATCAGTGTTATCAAAGAGGTCCTGACACAAAAGGAGACTATGATTGTCTGGGGGAAGAGTATGGCAAACAGAACACAAAAAACAGCTCTAGGGTGGTAGTGAGGCACAGAGGAAAGACAGGTGCAAGGAGGAGAGTGAGGGAGACTGACGGGGCCTAGGGAGGCAGGCCTGGTCAGCTACTGAAAACTGCTACACTGAGCAAGATGGAAGGACACCAGGGCTTTGGACACGGTCTGGCCTGTATGTTGAAAGGATTATGCTAACAGCAGTATTGAGAATAGGCTTTGAAAGAAGCAGGGAACCCAAGCAGGATGTTCCAGTTGGATTATGGAGGGTTGAATTAAGGCAGCAGGAACAAGGCAGTAGGCAGTGAATATAGATTATACATTCTGGAGGTGAAAGCCAGCAGATCTGCAGATGGTAGGAAGATAGGGAATGAAAGAAAAGAAGAGAGAGAAGTCAAGGATGATTTCAAGCTTTTTGGCTTAAGTGACTACCTGATGGAAATATCATTCTCTAGGAATGAGAAGATAGGATAAAATTGGTTTGAGGAAATATGGAATGAGGAGTTGGATTTGGGATATATGAAACTCCAAATGGAGATAGGCACAACTCCTTCAAAATCTTCAGGTATAAAAGAAGACAAATGGGCTACTAGGTAGAGCAGAATATAGAAACAGAGAGATTTTTCAAGGATGAGAAATAACGGATATATCTCTAAGTGAATGTGAAAGACTCAGTAGTGAAGAATGATGAGACACAGAAATCGGGATGATGTCTTCCAGAAGGTGAGAAGGGAAAGGGACCAGTATAGTCCACTCAGGCCAACAGCAGGACGCTAGAGCACATGGACATAGGAGTAGATGGTCATTAGAACAACAGTACAACTACATGGCAATTCTCTCTGGACACTGCTATTTTTTTAGTTAAAGGAAAGTTAAATTGATAGTTGGAGATTAAGAATAGGAATGAACTACTGGAAGTACAAAGAGAAAAAGAACGTGTAAAATGGTCACCAATAGCTCATCACACATAGATAATAATTTAAGAATTACCATTTGAACAAAGATAATACCAGCAAGATGCTGAAAGCGGCATACATAAAATTCTTAATCAGAAATGTAAATATGTTTATCTACATGTTTACCTTGTTGAAGTATGGGCTGGGCCAATATATAGATATATGCAGAATCCAAATAAAGCAAAACTCCATGATTTGAGGACCAGTAAGAAAATGACCCATCTGTTCCCTACTCTCAAATGGAAAAATAAAACAAAAACAAAAACAAAAACTAGCAAGACTTAATGACAATGAAGACATCTGTGAGAAGCTTTTCACACAAAAACAGATCAATGAAATATCTTGATAATATGTACTGACTAGGTTCCGTTTTCAGACATGATGAAACTAGACATGAAGTAGTGGTGATAGAAGTGAACAGATTACTATTCACAAAGGAGTCGTGATTCACACATCTCACTGTCAGGAATCTCTGGACCACCAATGGTACATGTATGAGAGTCCCACCAGGCAGCTCGTTCCACAAGGAATAGTCATGCATGTAACACCAGTGGTTCAAGCCAGTGGGGACACATTAGTAAGAAAGGAAATTGGTAGGGAAAAATCTCTAAGATTCAAAATAGGTAGTGTGCACCCTTGCTGGAAGAAAGTATGCTTCAGATCCATTATGTCTCCTTTCAAATGTGTAACTGGTTTCCCAGAATGGATTTATTCCCAGGAGAGAATGGTCCAGGTCAGTGGCTCACACTGGTCATGTTACCACCATGGCTTTACACTGTATACTCATATCAAGCTTTTATTTCTTTTGAGCCATCACCTGCTTCTGAATTGGGTTATGGTGAATTAACTCACCAGATCATGAACATTATTGATAGAAGACAAAATAGAAACAATTCTAAGAGCTGAGAGAGTCTTTTTGAGACTGTTGAGTTCACCTTCTCCATTGGAACCTACAAAGCTATCAAATGCATCCTGGAACTGGAGGTCAGCACAAGGTGAGAGAAGGAAAAAGTCCTACCAAGGAAATTCTTTATAAAGGCAGGAACAGAGTTCTCTAAACTTTATCTGAAAAGAGAGAAAGATGACACAACTTGTCTGCCTTGTCACTTTCCCTGAGTCCCATTGCTTTCTGTTTGCAACTTGTAGAACTGGGAAAATATTAGTATTTAAATGTGATATAATTACTTAAATCTCTTCCATGAGTCTGACAGAGACTTGCTTTAGAAATCAGAATTTTAGGTTGATTTTCTAGTAGTTGAGCATGTTCAGATAAAACAAGCTGGGCTAACATGGAATATTTAACACAGGACATGAACATCTCACACAGCCTTTTGCTGATGAAATAATTCATCTTGTCAAACTTCCTAGGAGAAGTATCATTTTTGGCCTTAGAGACATTAATGGTTTGTGGAAGATAATAATGTGAATGGAGTTTATAGTTCAAGGCTTTGTGTCCAATTTTCAGGGAGCTTGTTCAAAATTGATTTTTGTAGTGATGCCAAGGATCAGCCATTATCTATCTTACTCAATAAAAGATAGATGTTATAGATCACATCTAGCTTAATGTTGCTGAATTTTTAAAGTTTGTTTGGATACTCTATAGTAATTGTTTAATGTGCTAACAAATAAAGAAGTCATAATTATTTCATCCCTATTAAAGTTCTGTCAAACTTTTATATTTAAACTTCTTATGAATAACTTTTCCTTTAAATTATTCTATTAAAATTTAATTTATATGCCTAAATTTTGCTTTATTCCACATTAATGTTAATCAATAATATCTATAGCATAACAGAGATAAAAATATGGCCTGAGGCCTAAATCTCAAATTGCTTCTGTGAAATAAGGATATAAATATGGCGATAACTGTGTTTCAAAAGCACTACATTTATTTAGACTTTGGCACCCACAATCAAAATCAAACATAAAGAAAACTTTCAAAGCATAAAGTATTTTTGCCATAATTAAATTAGTATTTGCAAAAATCATTTTCTCTTGTTGATATGTTTTCTTAATCAAAAGACTTAATATCATGACAAAACACATCACTTATCAGAACCAGCATGATCTTCTGATAACAAACACATTCTTTTTTACTTAATGGCAACTGCAGTTTAGAATATTAGAGGATTACTGGACAAAACAAGTTACAAAAATCATAGTTTCTGTCTCCTAGGCCTGGTGTATAATATAGATAAGACATACTAATTTTTTCACAAATTTGCTTTTTAAAAATTTAATTAATAAAACCTGATTAAATTTTCGAATGAGATAAGAAGAATTTGAGCACCCAAATGACCCCATCTTTAGTTCAGAGTGAGATGTACTGTATACTCTATTGAGTTGTCAGTAGTTGGGGGTATTAAGTGCTGACAGGCATGCCCCCACCCCAAAACAGTCTGGTTGTCCCAGGTCTGAAACATTTCTGTAGCCCCATGCCTACTGTTTTCCAGCATGGCCGACAGTTTCATACCTCTAAGGATGATAGAGGAGCTTTAAAGTCTAGCACATTTGTATATACCAGCTCTGGCTTTTATTTTGAGTTCCCAATGCCACCAATCCAGTGGCCCCCTTGATACATCCACTTGAATGTCTAATAAGCATCATGAACTTTACAAGACCAAAAGTGATCTTCTGATTTCAGAATCCATCCAAACCAGTTCTTCCTAGTAAGGAACTTATGTTATTGCTTCCTCAGTTAGCCAAACCAGAAAAATCAGAAGGGAAGCTTGAATCTACCCTTTCTTTAATCTTTCCATTGAATTCATCAAGTCTGTTGGCTCTACCATCTATCTGCCACTCCCACTTCCTGGGTGTGACCACAGCCAGGCAGCCATCTTCTCCTCCTGCATACACTGACACAGTTATTTGTCATATAGCTACTTCTGTTCCCATAGTCCAAACCAATTTATTCTCCATGAAAAACAACCAGACTATCACACCCATGCATAAAACCCTACAATGTCTTTCTTGAACATGTAGAATAAAATCCTCAAGGCTCTGGTCCTCCTGTGCTCCTCCAGCTCCCTCGGCATGCCCTTCTTTCTTTGTGGGCTTATGTTTCCCTACATCCTGGTCTTTTCCTTGCTGTTCCTTCTGCCTGAATAGCTCCTTCTGCAACCTTGTCACATCTCAGCCACATATCACCACCCTGGAGAGCCCTTTCTGACACCCTTATCTGAAATGCTATTTTCTCTGTCACTTTCAATCACATTGTCTATGACCAAAACCTCTTAATAGATACACTTTTTGTTTAATTATCTTCTTTTCTTGCAGCCTGCATTATTAATATGATATAATGTAGTCATTTTTGACATCATAATATACTTTAAATAAGACTTTGAAAGCTTTGCTTAAATATTACCTGCTTGGAGAGCCCTTTCTCTGTCACCCTTTTCACCATTTCAAGGCTTTCACATGTCCAGTGACTGCCATATTTTCGTTCGTCTCAGCATTTATACTAGCAAAAATAAACAGTACCTATTTGTTTTTTTGAATTATCTTCCCTTTTATGATGGAAATATCATAAAAACAGAGGGTTTTTAATCAGATTTTATTGATGACTGTATTTTTGTGCCTAAAACAGAGTCTGGCACTAAATATTTTTCCAGTAAGTAATTTTTAAAAATTCCAGTAGAGTTTAAGATCCACAAGGATAGAGACCTTTATGGGGTTCATTATATTTTTAAATTTATTTATTTATTTATTTTAAATTATTATAATGCCTAACTTCCTTAAAAAACCTCTGGCTGGAGAGAGACTACTTTTTGAGGGCTTCCCATCTGAAAGAGAGATTAGGTAAGCAAGCTTTTAATAAGTAAATTAAGAACCAAGAAGTTGACCTCCTCTATCTGAACGTGACCACTGGAAACTGCAACTATAGTCCCTAGGCTGCTTAAGTTATTTAAAACAGCCAGTTTTAACCGGCTCACCCAGACCCACCTTGCAAGTCCCATGGAAACCCATAAAGATAGTAGCCAAAGTCTCCCTGTCACTCTAGTCCTCTGCTTCCTAGCCACCATGGTATCTTTTCAGGGTGGCCCTGCATGGTGTGCTAGGCCTTCTGATTGTGGGAAAGGAGTACAATAACCTCTGTTTTATTCCTGAGCCTTTTCTGCATCTTCTTTTGTAATCACATCTGACCGACCTTCTTATGAAAAAGTACAACACAGATATCCTCAAGGCTAAAATAGGACACAGTACAGGTGGGTTCATGCAATTACAGTCACTGTGTCCAGGCTTCACAAAAGGAGTGGAAGACAAAGAAACAGAGATGAGATGGTGAGGACGAGGAATGGAAAGGAGGAGTGGAAGAAATGAGTCAGTTGAAGGAAACAAAGTACTTTCTACTCTATATTTTTAAAAAGTCTCTTCTAAGAATCTTGCAACCTCTACAATTGGGAACCTTATAGCTCAGAGGAGCCAGAAGTGAAAACAGTATTATAGTCCCAAGTGGAATGAATCATAGAATTACTAGACTCAGCAGGTTACAGTATTGAAAATTAACTGTTTTATTTAAAGTGGGATTACTTGCTTGGGTTTATGCATAGACATGAAAAGCAAATTCTATATGGAAACTAGAAGAGGCACAGAGAAAATGCATGTTACGGCAAGTGAAAAATCCAATCATAGAGAGCACATGAAGATCAGGAAAATTTTTGAAATAGAGAGGTTTTGGAATACCTGTGCTTTCCCGTATCTTGCTCGTGGACTCTGAGGGTATTTGTGCACCAGTTCGTCAAATGCATTCTTTGCTTCCTCTGTTTTCCCCTGTTGGATACAATTACATAAGTAAGCCTGAGTGCCTAGCACAATGTTATTCTATGTAGTTTCTCAATAGTCACCAAATGATTCTGCCAGAAGTTTTCACACTTCTTTCTGAATCTAAAGGCTCTTACCTAATAAACCAAAACAAAACAAAAAATAAAAAAAACTTGTAGAACAAATATAAATGAACATACTAAATTTTCATAAAGAATGCCTGACAAAGATGTAAGATGAATTTATGTTAAAAATTGCATTTTCTTTCAATACATATGTTGCATTATCCCTCTCATAGTATTAATCTTAAAAAGGAGTATTTTTTTTTCTGTAAACGAACTTAAAGCATGGTAAAAAATTTGCATTCAATGCCTTTTGCCTGTACTTTTTAATAAACACTTTGCATTAGGCTGCTGTAGGAAATCATAACAGATTTGGTGGCCAAAGTAACAAATTGATTCTCTTGCAGTTGTAGAGAACATAAGTTCACAATCTATTGCTGGGGCTGGAATCAAGAGGTAAGTGAGGCTGCACATGCCCTAGAGGCAAAGGCAAGGGTCTGTGGTGAGTCTTCTCTAGTTCTAGTAGACACTGGTATTTTTTGGCCTGTAGTGCATTATTCTGGTATTTGCCTTCCTTTCTCCATCTTCTCATCACATTTCCCCTATGTGTTTGTATTCAAAAAAATTCTTTTTGAGACAGGGTTACACTATGTAGTTTGAACTTGCCATTTAGCCCAAGCTGGCTTTGGATTTGAAATAGTCCTCTTGCCTCAGCTTCCTGAGGTGTGCACCACCATACCTGGTTTGTTTTCACTTTTGTTTGTGTCAAATCTCAATTGGATTCTTTCCTATAAGAATGTGTTCAGGGTCTTCTCAGATAATCCACAAAAATGTCTCTACTGCAAGGTCTTTAACTTAATCACATCTAGAACAATCCTCTTTCCAATAAGCTTAACATTTACATACCCTAGATATTGCACCATGGATATCTTTTGGGAAGGCCCCTTTACAGCCTACCAGAGTATGCCATCTGGCTCGTAAAGATTCATGTATGTCCCACATGCAAAATATGTTCACTTTATTTCAAAATCTACAAAAGTCTCAAGTCATAGCATCCACTCAAATCTAAAACTTCATCTAAATCTTATCAACCCCAAGTTCCAAGTCTCATTATCTAAATCAGGTATGAATTATACACGTTATAGTTATGATTCACCCTAAGGTAATGTTCCTCTTCATGTATAGATTTATAAAAATAGAAAACAAGGTACCTAATTATAAAATACAACAACAGGATAAGCACTGTAAAACATTTACAGGTACTCTTATTCTTAAAAAAAGGAGGACGTTGTAATTTATTCCAAGCAACTTCAAAACTTGGCCACAGGTAGATTCCACTAACTGTCAAGATCTGGGAATAATTCCTTGTGGCTTGAGATTCTAGCCCTGTGTCCTTAGCTCTGGCTCTTGCACTCTTTTCCTTGGACTTTTGAATCCAAGGACCTGACCTTAGAGTGGTCCTTTCTCTTAATAAAAGATGGCACAGGTTTGTGGCTGCTTTGTTTTATCAGCTGTTTTGAGTGTGTGTCAGTCATCTGTCATTTTTATCTATCTTTTTTAGTCCAAGTTGGCAGTATTTCTGCTTCTCTAATATTCTAAAAACTTATGAGTCTCCTATGTATGTTACAAGAATGCACACCATTGGATAAGAAGCTGCTTCACATACTCATTCTGTATGATCTCATCTTTATTCTTGACTTTTGTTGAGTCACAGACTCACTCTCTTTGGAAACAGGTTCGCAGCCCTGTTCCTGGACTTATAGGCAGAGCACAATTTCCTAATAATGCATTTTCTACTGTTAGTTTCTTCTATATCTGATAGGCTGAGAAAATATCAAATGACATGGCCTGGTTTATTTTTTTCTTAACCGCTTTTTTCTCATTTTATATTCTTCTCATGTTTTACCATAAAACACAAAACGGAACCAGGCTGCACCTTCAACACTTCCTTGGGTATCTCCTCCTCTAAATATCCAAATTTACTGGTTTAAGTACTGCTTTCCACGTAACTTTAAAACACAATTCAGATAAGTTTCCTGCCACTGTGTAACAAAGGACACTTTCCTGTAGATTTCAATAATATATTCTTCATTTTATTCTGGGTACTTTCCACAAGGAGCTTTATTGCCTACATTTACACTCTCAATCTGTCCTTTATGATAAATGTTTTCTCTAAAGGTGAAAGGAGATTTCTCAACTTTGCTCTGTCCTCACTTCCTCCAGAGCCCTCAAGAGAAGCATCTTTAACATCTATGTTCCTACTAACATCTTAAGATAATTTAGAATTTTCCTACCATTTGGTTCAACATTCTTCTAATCTCTTTTCTTTTCCCAATTCCAAACCCACTTCTACACTTTCAGGTATTGCTGTATTCCACAGCCCAGTACCAAAATCTGCATTAGTTCCCTAGGGATGCTGTACCAGATTGTCACAAACTTGGTAGCATAAACAAGAGAAACTTGTTCCCTCACTATTCTGAGGAACAGATGTACAGACTTAGTTTCTCCGGGCTGAAATTAAGATGTTGACAAGCCCATGCTCTTTCTAAAAGTCCTGGCCTTTTGCCAATATTTACTGATTTATAGCTGTAATACTCCAATTGCCACTTCTTTCTTCATGTTGAGTTATGAACACCTTATTGTTGGGTGACACCTTCTGTTTGTTTGAATCAAGTTTCCCTCTATTCTGTCTTTTTTTCAACACTAGCTAATATATTGCTTGTTGTTATCTTAGAAGTAGTTGTTCAGGTTACATGATCTAGGCATAAAAAATGATTAAAAAAATCAAAACAGTGACAGCACAAACTGTGGCTGAAAATGTCCCTGTGTAAAATGTTCATGTACTAATCCTGGAGCCTATAAATGTCATATTATTTAGGAAAAGGTTCTTTGCAAATAACATTAAAACTTTGAGTTGAAATTTTCCTGAATTTTCCATTTGTGCCGTAAATGCAATCATGTTACTATAGTCCCTCTATTCTCTTATTTTTCAAGAAAAGATTGCATTTATGGTATAAAAATTCAGGATAATTTCAACTCAAGATTTTAATATTATTTGCAAAGAACCTTTCCACAAATAATGTAACTTTATAGGCTCCAGGATTAGTACATGAACATTTTACACAGGGGCATTTTCAGTCTACTATGTATCTTACACATTTAAATTGCCAATATTGAAGCTACTTTTGTGAGCACTACATGTACTACTGCCATATTAAAAACAGGAATAACAATACTCAAAACAAATGTGATAAAGCACATTGTTTCTCTGACACTTCATGGTTGTGAAAATAATGGAATACTTTGGCTATGTCCGAGGCATCCTTTGAATTTCCTCAGGACAGGACAGGTGGCCTTCCTAAGGGACTGTACATCCTGCTCTCAATATCAACTGCCTACAACATTAATATGCTTGCTCTTAGTCTGAAAGAATGTCATTTCTAAGAATTTTATATTCCTAGTTCCTAGTACTCTTTTGCACTTCTCATTTAAAGTGACACAATGCTTATAAATAATTACCAAAGATTAACTGTTCTCCAACTTAGCTTATTTAGGAATGAGACAGTTCACTGGAGAAGTTGTGCTTGGGGCACAGATTTCGTTTGGCTTAAGGCCAGTAGGTGGGGCTAAAGGACATTATGACATGGTCACGTAGATATATTACAGAATCTACTGGCAGGATGGTAGGAAGTTTGCATTCATCAGTGTATCCTTTACCAAGATCATAAAAGAATACTTTTCTCTGTATTTGGTGTAGTCAGCAATGCTGATGAAGTATAATCTTTCAGTCTGCTTTTATTTCCTTTGTTCTGCCTAAAGAAAGTTCAGGAGGCATCATTGCTAGTATGATTTAAAGTCTGTAGTACGAAATGAACATTTATATGTTCACTTTACTTTGACTTTGTTATATTTTTCCTACTTTTTCTTTTTTCATGTTCATTTATAATAAAACAATAGTAAATGATTGCAAGAAATAAATGTACTCCATTATATCATTTCAAAACCTTCTGGAGTAGAGAGAAACTTTAGAAAATAATAATATATAAAAAATTAAAATATGGTCTATATTTTTGGATAAAAAAAGGTGATCATGTACTTTTCCATAGTTCAGTACTGGAACCTGTTATGTGAAATGAGGCTACAGTGGCTGTCTTGGACCTGTCTTGGCCTGGTCTTCAGTTAGTTATACCAGTGCACTAAATTGCATCCTTTGAAAGTAGTAACTACAAAAATGAATTTTTAAAAAGACATAATTATACTGTTGATTTAGTCAGTATTACAACTCATGGGTGTATCAGAAGAAAGAGTTGCATTTATGGCTATTTATTTATCCTGTTATACATTCACAGTCCTCATAGAGGAAATCATCATAATTTCTCCATATGAAGTGGACAGTACCCATGGATGGATCTAGTACCTTTATGTCCAACTGATTTATGTGCCCTTTGATAACAAGGTCCTTCTTTACATTTATTAGAACTACATAAAAATCCTTATCCAGAGCTGTTCACTTGTGTTTTATTCCAAAAGTTCCCTGTGAAACTGGTATTTTACATTTTCTCATAAATGGCATTTAGTCCAGAAAAAAGTGCAAGATTCTAAAGGGGGAGAAAGAAAAGGATGATTCTTGCTCTATTTCTATTCAGAAATGCATATTTACCACAAATAGTGGATGATTTAACTTCATAAAGTTTAGTAAGATAGCTTCCGGGAGAACATGGCGGACAGATAACAGCAACTACCGGAGGCTCTCTGAAAGACTCGGCTCAGAAGCCAGGAATGGTGCGGACTAAGGAGACATAAGCAGGTGGAGATATGCTCTGCTGACTCAGGAACGAACTGGGCTGAGAGAAACCAACTTGGAATGCAGTCCTGGTGCTAAAACATGAAGAGAAAAGCCTCGGTGTGGAGGCTGGACCCCGCGCCATTGTAAGCCGCGATTTGGGT